ACGGCCGTACGGTAGCGCAACGTGCCCGTGACTGACCCATTAAGGGGCAGACTTGGGTGTCAGAAATCGGCGCTCTTTCTATCATAATTCTTTTGCTTTTTACTCACCCAGTGAATCCGACCAGCCTCGACCGCATGTTATAGCGGAGTATGTATTAATAGCCGTCGGGGTAGCCGTACCCGTCTTACTACTAGTAGTAATATATGTACGCATTGTACGCACCATTACCACTCTGGCGCGGCAGAGAGTCCACTGGGATCGGCGTTCAATGCAGACTTCCAGATCATCTTCCATGCAACGATTGGGATGGAAAGGTTAAAAAAGAAATAAAAATAAAAATAAAAAAAGAGCGATAGGGGATCCTCCGCTTCCAACGCATTCCAAATAGACTAAGTAGACTTAGAGACCGTTGCGGAGCATCTACCGTTTCTTCATGATGAACATCTCCAGTTACCAAGATCCAGACACTGAGGACCCCCTTGCGATAACGCATTAATGGACTGTTTTGCTATTTATTACTATCATTGTTTTCCTTTTTACTACGCAAAAACTACACTGCATGGTGCGCTGTCAGCCACCCGATTAATTTTACAACACAAGCAAAAGGGTGTTGGCAATTACCAAATCACGAAGCTGAGCTAAGATGAGTATCATCATCTTTCAAACGGACCCCGCATGAACACATCACACATCCTTTCTTCTGTACAACCCTGTACATACTGTACACTTTACAGGCATAGAAGATTTTGCACGATTGTTTCAGATACCTGACCAATCTCACATGATGCAACAAGGGCTAGGGCTTACCGAAATGCAGTGTGATTTCATCTGATATAATGTAAAACAAAACAAATACCTATGTAGGAATGTCTCCTACAGTCGGATATTACTTGTGTTCTCGAGGATGCCCAGCCGCATAAAAGTGCCTGGGATTTCGGATAGTTCCTGCAGGGTAAATAACATAAGTACATACAAAGAACGATCGCAGTGCCTTGCAGAACAAAAATGTCCATAGTATGCGACTCACTTATGCCCTTGCTGGAACTAGGAGTACCTTCAGATCCTGCAACTCAGACACTACATACTTCTCACTAGGATCATGTAATTAGTTATAATTATTATCTATATCTGACTAAATGCTGCATGGCACAAGGATTTACATAGCCATGTCCATCCATTAGTGATATTCGTGATCAGCTGCTAAGCAGCGAACTACTTGCCATCGACCTATATATGTCGGAGCGTACCTGCAGATCCCACCCTTAAACCATGTGGCCCGGAGTTTGTACTGTGTAGCATTCTTATATCATTCTTTGCAGCGCCACGGCATCGATATCCTGATTGATTGCAGTAGTCAACAGGACAGCTTAAATTCTTCATGACGTGATTTCCAGCTGTCACCCAACAGCCACACAGCCACGATTTTCTCTCAGGTATAGGAAGCCGCATCCTTAGCCTTTATAATGGGATTACATACATCCATTCAAGATAAAGACCATGCAACGAACCCATGGGCAAATTCGATAGCTAATTTCGCGGGTCTACCGAGGCTATCGTCAATTCATCCTATAATGGCTTGATCGTATGATAGAGAAAATCGCGTTCGCCGTACGGAGGTATTGCATGCCTTTGCTAAAAACGTCGGTGTAGTGCCAAGTAAGTGCTAAGACCTGGCCGTGGAGACGAAGATCAATAGACTCGCCGAATAAATGCCTCTCCTTCACTCTAGACCAGTTGTGTGTCCACTCGACAGTTACACATCGTACATACACGGCAGGGTGCGCACAGTGAGCCGGAGATCCTGTTGAAAACCCCCAATGCAAGCCGCTTGGCCCTTGATAAAGTGAGATACAAGCGTTGTTTAATCTTCTTTGCTCAAAACCGCTTTTCTCCGAGGAATCGTCCTTTTCCCTACGGAGCAAACTAAGGCGTGCACGTATCCATCGTCGCAACAATTTTACTTTGCTAGTCTCGCTAGTCAATTTGGCAAAATATGGAACAATAAAAATTGGTTTAAGGAGAATTTTCCTTCTCATCCCCAGCATGGTTATCGCGATGGCCATGTGCCGACACTCTCCTATTAAATTTTAGAGCGTACGTATGCGTCATGTTCAATGTTACTAGCGACGACATCTTGGTTCCCACCGGTTCGAACTCTGGAGTGATCCTATAGTACGTAGTCCATGCGAAGAGTTTGCGAATGGCATCACACTTGCGTGGCTTTATCTTCCGTTGTTACGTACTCCATCTCGTCCCGTGGGGCACCAGGGAAGCTATCAGTCGTCAGGGGTATTTACCGGCTAGACTTCGTATAATGTGCAACACTCTGCATCTGATAATTGATTGTTTTTCCTAGTGCCCTTGACTCCATACACTCTGCTCGGTCGAACCATGGATATTGGGTGGCCTGTAGTGGGGATTTGGCGCACTACACCTTTACGGAGTACACTACACTAAAAACGGTATACTGTTATCTTCCCGTTGGTTTCAACGTATTTTACTAGGGCCTTTTTTGTTTCTCTCTCTCTCGTTGTTACAGTTTCTATCTGCTCTCAAGTATGTATCATGGCAGTCTCCGAAAGTGTCAGCCCATTGAGCGAAAAAATCAATTGTCAAACACATCAGCTTGACGTGCACCCCCCACATAAGGGGCCGTATCATGCCTAGAAGCTCGGCATTGATATCCAACCATGACGCATGATTGTGTATAACTGAATGGAGATATATAATTTCGGCTACACGGACTGTTCTGCCCTATAAAATCAGTCGCCCATGAAATGCGGAGTATTCAGAGGATGGGGTTTAATATCTTCCCCTTCATGGAGTCAACAGGCCGAGCTTCGGGGCTCCACGTACACCTTGGACGACAATACTAGGCAACAGCGACTCTATTCCAATGCATGCTTGAGAGCTGTGTCCGAGACATTCCCTCTCTTTCCCTCTCAATCTTTTTACTCCTGACACCTGATTTACTTGTACTACAAGCTTAGCAGACCAGCTGCCTAGTTAATTAATTTCTTTTTCGTCTCACTGTCAACACCGGGACTCCGATCAATCCCAACTCAAATTGTAATCAAGGGCACAGAATACACATTGGCTTATGTCTATCATATAGAATGACACATTCCAACGAACGTTTCAAACTAGAGCGACGATCATGAAGAGTAGACCTGGTGGCTGACTGCTGCCGCATTGAGAGCATGAATGACTAATCATCGATCCAGGTCGATGCCAAGACCGGACAAATTTGCCCACCGCCTTCCCGTGAATTTTTTTGATTCTCCATTATCGCAGAATTCGAGACGAGTCGAAATCTGCAGCAATCGACACAAATTAGCAAAAATGGTGTCCTCAACAGCGGTCACTACTAAGGTGGCCTCCGGGTCCCCCTACCAACTCGAGAAGAGCCAGGTATGTAACCAATATTGCCCCGCGTGACCAATGTCAAATATGATCTCAGTAGCTCACGATACGGCTGCAGGTTTCCAAAGCTTCTTCTGCGCTTTTGCGACACATCAAATCGAAACAGGTTGAAAAGGAGAAGTCGGCGACCAAGAAGACTCTTATTGGAGACAACGACGAGTCCGACGATGAAACCCCACTCAACAACGAGGCTGTCTGGCTCGTGGTCACCACCAAGAAGCACGTTGTCGACAAGAACCGTCTGAAGCCCGGCAAGATTACCGTCCCACACTCCTTGAATGACTCTTCGAACCTTAGCGTCTGCCTCATCACCGCCGACCCTCAGCGCTCGGTCAAGAACATTGTTACCGATCCTTCTTTCCCCGAACACCTCACTTCCCGAATTGACCGGGTTATCGGCTACTCCAAGTTGAAGGCCAGATATCAAAGCTTTGAGAGTCGGCGACAACTCCTGTCCGAGCACGATGTCTTTCTGGCGGATGACCGGATCATTTTGCGCTTGGTCAATACCCTTGGAAAAATCTTCTACAAGTCTAGCAAGCGGCCTATTCCTATTTCTATCGCCAAGGTTGAGAAAAAAGATGGCAAGAGGGTGAAGAAGGATCCAAAGCAGAAGTCGAAGGAAGAAGATAGCGCTTTCGCTTCCCCCGCCGTTGTCGCTAAGGAGATCGAGAAGGCGCTCCACTCCGCGCCTGTCCAGCTTGCTCCCGCCACTACCGCCTCCATTCGCATTGGTTCATCCAAGTTTACCCCAGAGCAGCTGTCTGAGAATGTCGATGCTGTTGTTCAGGGTTTAACTGATAAGTTCATTACGAAGGGCTGGAGGAACATCAAGGCCCTTCACATCAAGGGCGCCACTACTATGGCCATGCCGATCTGGCTAGCCAATGAATTGTGGGTTGAGGAGGGTGACGTGGCTGAAGACGTCGCGGATGCTGATGCGAAGGCACTCGAAGGCGCCAAGAATAAGAAGCGCAAGCAGAATGCAGAGGATGAGAAGCTGCTGGAGGGCAATAAGAAGTCCAAGAAACCCAAGGCTGCCGATGAGGACGAGGACGCTGCTGCCAGGAAAGAGAAGCTTCAGAAGCAGAAGGCTAAGGCCCTGGAGGATGGCAACGTTGCAAAGACGACAGAATCCGCTACGAAAGGTGGAAAGAAGAAGAGAAAGTCGACCTCATAATATACTACTTCTATGGTGTTATATGGATTATATTTGTCAATTGCAACTATAGGTTCTCCGGCGGCGTACCGATATCACGTGTGTCGATTTTATGATTTAGACAATAGGGCGTGTTTGCAATACCCTTTGAAGAAAAAAAGTTTATTGTTGCTACTGTGCTTTGATTTTCGCTCTGTAATTAGAAAATTTCCAGCAATGCAATGGTATAAGGTATCCTTATCAATGACGATGGTCAACATGGATCCTCCGTAGCTAGCCTTGCAGAGGCACATGTTATGCACTTTTGCAGAGGACACCGCCCTCAGTTAACCGAGCTCTCCGAGGATCGGCGGGTGCTTGGCGGACCGACGATAACCACCCGCCCGCCAAAAGCGTCGGCAGAACTTCAACTATTATGCAGTTGCACCTACTAGTACTTGTTGGCAGCCCGACAAGAGCTCAGAGCAGGTTCTCATAACTCACTCCAATATATACCATCATGATCCCGATCGCAAGACATTCGGCCCTTCGCGCCGCCCGCTCGCAACTCGCTCCGCGGGCCTTTAACCAGTCTGCACTCGCCCGCCTTCTCTCCACCTTGGCCGTCCTTGAACAGCGTGATGGCAAGCTCCAGACCTCATCGCTCTCTGCGATTGCAGCTGCGCAGAAGCTAGGAGGGCCCGTCACTGCCTTCGTGGCTGGAAACGGCGTCAAGGGAACCTCGGCTGCGGAGGCAGCTAAGATTAAGGGTCTGGATAAGGTAGTGGCCGTGGACAGCGAGGCTTATGAGAAGGTACGAGGTCGCTACAAATGGTTTTAAGAGCCATGAAATTACGGTATCGGCAGGATCTAACGGGAATGGAAAACTAGGGCCTGGCCGAGAACTACGCTCCTCTTCTCGTTGAGAACATCAAGAAAGGCGAATACACCCACATCATTGGCGGCCACTCCGCTTTCGGAAAGAGTCTTCTGCCTCGTGTGGCAGCTTTGCTGGATGTTCAGCAGGTATCCGATATCACCGGAATTGAGAGCGAGGACAGTACGTATAAGGAAGGCTGAAGAAGCCGACATTTTCGATGAGTCATATGTGCTGATGATTGACGCAGCTTTCGTCCGCCCTATCTACGCTGGAAACGCCATCCTCACTGTTCAGTCGAGCGACCCCATCAAGGTCCTCACCGTCAGAGGCACTGCTTTCCAGGGTGTTGAGACCGAGGGTGGCTCCGCGGAGGTCGTTGAGGGAGTTGACCCCAAGGCACCCGCCCAGACCGAGTGGGTTTCTGAGGAACTTGCCAAGTCTGAGCGCCCCGACCTGGGTACCGCATCCCGTGTTGTGTCCGGTGGCCGTGGCTTGAAGTCGAAGGAGGAATTCGACCGGGTGATGGTGCCTTTGGCCGATACGCTCGGAGCTGCCATTGGCGCTTCCCGTGCCGCTGTTGACAGTGGCTTCGCTGATAACAGTCTACAGGTTGGTCAGACGGGCAAGAATGTTGCGCCTCAGCTGTATCTCTGCGCTGGTATCTCCGGTGCTATCCAGCATCTTGCTGGTATGAAGGACAGCAAGGTTATTGCTGCTATCAACAAGGACCCCGATGCTCCCATCTTCCAGGTTGCGGATGTCGGCCTTGTCGGCGATCTTTTCGAGAAAGTACCTGAGTTGACCGAAAAGTTGAAGAGCCAGGCTTAGTTTGGCTTATCGCTTTTGTTCTTGTATCATGATTTCTTTTTGTCTCATGCGAGCTTCTAGGGCGGAGTCAATTATAAAGTATACCATCCATTGTTAGCACTAGGAAATTGCAATTAGACTCCTAGTTACAAGACGCTATACCTGTATCGATCTTCGTGAGTAAACCATTGTGTTCAACGCATCGGTGACGTGCTCCAGGGCTGGGGCTCTACACTGTTAACCATACGGGCAATGATGTGGAAGTTTCATGGAAAGCTGTGGCCATAGGCCCGTCCATTTAGTTTTCTATAGCAAGAACTCAATTGCTACGATTGGTATATCATTGTAGCGAGATAATCCACCATTATAACACCTCTCGGTGGGAGACCTTTATGCTATGACCAGGGAGCAGGCTCAACGCATTTTTCAGTATATTATGAACAGCCATTAACAAGAAACCGTATTAAGTCCATTCTATCGTACATACTCTTGTAGACGAACATGCGTCACTCAGACCTGGCCCGAGGTCATACACTTGACTTCCATTTAGAGTTAGCGCGCACCCGGCGGCGCGTTCACGCGCGTCGCATCGCCCACTCCATCTAATCGGTCCACAGATACAGAGGAAAGATCGAGGGTATCACCAAACTGGTCAATTAGGTATTACAGCACTATCGAAATATGAAATGACCTCTTGAACGCTTTAATGACATCGCCACCATCGTCATTCCCACCCTCGTTTGATCCCGCCATACACCTCCACTCCCAGGGACCGGACGATATAGATATACTCCCGCTATCTGAATCTTTCTCCGACGATTTCGAGGCTATACATCTGCAGCGACAAGAAAATATCCGCAATAAGGTTGTGATTCTAGACCGGGCTTGGAATCTCTCGGATGTGTTCCGGAGTGACGAGGATATAGGACCAGGTACGATGTCGCATGGGAGGATAATGGTGATGCGAAGCATTCTGACGGTGATCTAGAAACTCCGACAAAATCTTGCAGAAAGTCCCAACTGGGGACCGTCAACTCACCAGTTCGTCCACTGGTACTTCTACCGTCTTCGCCTCCCGTCGTCAAGATGCCGTTTATATCGTCGCCTGTCGTCTTTCCATCGAGTGCTCCGTCGCCGACGGATCCGCAGAAAAGGAAGAATGGAGAGGAGTCTCAGTCGGGGGAGCATAAGCGGCAAAAGATTATGGGAGGATTCCTGGATGACGATGACGATGAGGATGAGATGGACGCATTTGGAGATGCCCATCTACGGAGCCAATTTGAAATTGAAGATCAGATTATCGAGCAACCGCCTGTTGCGCCGACGGAGCCAGTGGATCTCTCACAGCTTGCTCAGACTTCTACATCTACCCTTGATTCGTTACAGCCTCCGACTACCGCGCCAATCGCTTCAGTGCCTACAACATTCAGCTTACCACGAAGAGAGCCTCTATCGATCCAAATAAAAACTTGCTCGGGCAAGACGCACAATGTTGCGCTAAGGAAGACTGCAGCCCCTGTTTCTTATGAAAGACTTGTTGCCGGCCGCTCGACCACGGCTCCTGGGAGAGCTCAAAAGAGTTACTATGGTATTGATATACATAGACTTATGGACGAAGCTGCACAGGAGGCCGAACAGTCAAAAACGTCTCGACCTCCACCTGTCCCCGCAGTGCGGCAATCAATTGAGGCTGTAGAGGGAAACCAGAAAGATAGGAAAGCAGCAACTATAATGTGGACCGAGAAGTATCGTGCTCGTAAATTTACCGAGCTCATAGGAGACGAACGAACGCACCGATCTGTCATGCGCTGGCTGAAGGGATGGGAATCTATTGTTTATCCGAACCTGGCTAGGTCAAAACCAAAAAATTCCAGCAATGAAGAGGAACGACCGCACCGAAAGGTAATGTTACTATGCGGTCCTCCTGGTCTTGGAAAGACAACACTAGCCCACGTTTGTGCCAAACAAGCAGGCTATGAGGTGCTGGAGATCAATGCTAGTGATGACCGGAGCAAAGACGTGGTGAAAGGGAGGATCCGCGATGCGCTCGGTACGGAAAATGTAAAGGGAATGAACGTGGAGGTCGGCGAGAAAAAGGTTCGAAAGGCAGCGCGGCCAGTCTGTGTTGTCGTCGACGAGGTAGACGGCGTTGTTGGCGGATCTGGTAGTGGTGGTGAGGGAGGTTTCATGAAAGCATTGATTGATCTAGTTCTTCTTGATCAGAAAAATGCGTCACGCTCATCGGAACAAAATACGGCGGGCAGAAGAAGGAAAGGAGACAACTTCCGCTTCCTGCGGCCGCTTATTCTGGTCTGCAACGATGTATACCACCCCAGCCTTCGGCCACTGAGGGCGTCTTCTGTTGCTGAAATGATCCATGTGCGCCAAGCACCCTTGGAGAACGTGGTTTCGCGCATGAGGGGCATCTTCAACTTGGAAGGCATCCCCGCCGATAACGACGGGGTGAGAAGGCTATGTGAAGCGTCATGGGGCGTTGCCCGAAGGAAGCAAGCCAACTCCAAAAACAGCGGAACAGCCGAAGGTGATATTCGAAGTGTCCTTGTCGCTGCAGAATGGGTGGCCCATAAGCTGAAATACGAGAGCGTAGAGTCTATGCGATTGACGAGAAGATGGCTTGAGCAGAATGTCCTGAGTGAGGCTGCAGGTGGCAATTCATTCTTCAAAGGCCTAAACCGTGGAGGCGTGCGCGACATTGTCGACCGTGTATTCACGCAAGGAGCTGGTTTTGCAGACGTTCCTATCAACGCCGAATCTTTCCGTGACCCTTTCGATGACAACGCAAAAACTCCTGTGGGTGTGGCCGACCTCAAAAAGCGCCATGCTATTAACAGACTACGAGAGATGGTCGATGCTAGTGGCGATTACGACCGGTGCGTCACGGAGTGCTTCACTTCATATCCCCTGCAGACATATCAGGACGACACATTCCTCTCTAAGCCTAACAACGCTTATGACTGGCTGCATTTCCATGATACTATCTCATCTAAAGTTTTTTCTAATCAGGACTGGGAACTCACTCCGTACCTCAGCCAGTCTGTAGTGGCATTCCACCATTTGTTTGCTTCCGCCTATGGCAAGCGCACTCGTAATGAGCTTGATGAAGAGGAAGAGGAGGAACATCCTTTCTCTGGACCCAGGGCAGAGTTTGCAGCTCATGAGGCTCTGAAGCAGAACCGTGCGATTGTCAATGGGTTTCAGTCTTCGTTAGCTGCTCCGATGCTACGACTTTTCCGAGCTACCGATTGTCTAGTCACCGACCTCGTCCCGAACCTCATGCGGATGTTGTCGCCTGATGTAAAACCGGTTGTTGTACGGGGAAGCGGGGAACAGAAGAGCATGGCCAGTGTGCGTAAAGAAAGCGAGCGGGCTCTTGTGCAGGCAGCCGTCCGTGTTATGACGGGACTAGGTGTGACATTCGAAAAGGTGCGAGTAGAGGGCGAGAGCGGGGCGCACGGGGGGTGGGCATATCGCATGGAGCCGTATGTTACACCACTGCATCTAGACCTCATGTCGAGATTTCCAGGCTAACTGTTTAACAGTCCATTAGATTCACTTGTAACATTTTCGAAACCAAAGGACATTCATCATCAGGGACAACTAGTGCAGCACCAGTTCGCTACGCTGTTCGCCAAGTCCTTGACCAGGAGTACCGCAAGGAGACGGTACGAAAACAGACCGAAGCATTGAGTTCGACTTCTGGCCCCACAAAATCCTTGCACAAGTCTGCAGACGGCCAGGCACAGGACGGTGGGCAGGGGGTAAAAAGATCAGGCCGGGAACCTGGTGTCAAACGTGACTTTTTTGGACGGATAATCCGCGAGCCCTCGCCACAACCTGGGAGCTCACACGATAATCCAGTGCAGACTGAGGCTTCAAAGGCAGGCAGGAAGGTTTGGGTGACGTATCACGACGGATTCTCTAATGCTGTACGAAAGCCCATCTCGATGGGCGAGTTGCTAGCGGGACTATAGGACACAGACGCCTAGGGATTTACTACATAGCCTTAATACGAAACAGTCATGACGAGATGATAGCTCTAAATTCAGACTTTATAGAAACCTTACTAGTAAGGTCTTGAAGCCGAGGTACTGCATGGCTGCCAAGGTATGCTCGTCTTCCATTTAGATGCATAAAATGATTTAGTTCCCCAATTATTAAATAACAAGTAAAACCCATTAAGCACTCGGCCCTCTGCAGAGAGGCCGACCACCACATCCCAATACATAATATTAACCAAACATCAGGAACAAAAAACTTGATCTCAAACAAAGCGCTCAGAATCGTAGGCGCAGCGCATCATGCAATCTAATATTCCATCCCAAACGCCAATTTTCCCAACAAAAGAACAAAACGAAGCAAAGCCCCCAAGATGCACCAGGCAGAATGGGTGTGGTACGTCATCAATTGAGTTGTCATGTATCCCCAGCATTAGATCCCTTCGATAGTCCACTTGATCCGACGCAGATGATATATCACCTTGCAGCTTCACCGATACGCAAGGTAAGTAGCCATGGCCTCATAGTGTAGCGTTTTCTTGGATTTTTCGGTGTGCTTCGGCCTGGAGGTATCCGTCTTCTCTGTCTTCTTCAGGGAGAGCCATTTCTTCTTGGTGGGTTCGGCATCGGTGCCCTTTAGGGTTGATGTTGTGGAAAGGTAGGAGCGGGTTGATGCCGCGTCGTCCGAGATGGTGGTGGTTGACTTGGTGGATTTAAAGGCCATTGTTTCTTTTGGGCAGGAGACTTTGGGGAGGATTGGTTTATGTAGAGGAATGGTGGTGGTTGTTCTTTGGTTTGGGCTTGGTTTGTATAGTTCGGAAGGAGACTCGGTGGGAGTAGATATAGCAGGAATTTCAATACACAATGACTTGATATTGTTTGTTCAAGTGAAAGTAACCAGTGACTGATGATCGAATGAATAAAATGCAAGAAAAGATCCTGCCCGGTCTATATATACCCTCCAAATTGTGACAATTCCCTCTATACCTTATATTCCATTCCGTGCCGTACTACGCATTTTTACTCCGACGCCTCACGGAGTACAAACACTAAGCTCCAACCAAAGAAAAAAAAAAAAACAAAAAAAAAGGCCCCAAAGCAAGTCCATGACCCACCACAGCGATTAGCTGTAAGGCTTAGCAATCTAATGCAACCAAGCACGCTCTAACTTCGCTCCCAGAAAGGGATCCACAGACGACTTGACTGCCTGATGATATGCCAAAAATGCGTCATGGCCGCTCGTGTCAACCCCACAAGACCAGACTGTTCCGGTATACCAAGAAGCGAAGGGCGTGAACAACACGAAGTCGATGAAGTTACTCGGGGAAGATCCGAATTATTCAGATATGTAGTCTAGAATTTCGCTTAGAGTTGGGGGAGGTGGTGGTCGTTTCGTATTTTGTTATCTTTGTTTGGATGTCGGGGTGGGAGCCTGGGAGGTAGGGCTCCCGTTTTGGTTAAGTGAGTAGTATGCCATGCGATGGAGCCATTGTCTGTCTTTTTCTTCTTTACTAAGTAATTGGAGCAAGGAGCTGTAATGACATACTCTGTATCCTCGCTTGGCCAAAACGGGTGCCCTACCTTGAATTCCTTTATGACAGTCGGGTCTCGACTCCACTTTGCCGAGAAATTTGGATCTGGAGTCGATTCATTGAGAGTTTTGTTTGTCCGTCATTGGTGGATTTGGCGTGACTCAGGATACGCCTTAGGTTTTCCATGGCTGCGTAGACTTGCCTACAGCACTCTAGACATATCCAGTAACCGCGATGATGGAAGCCATATGGCGGAATTCTAGATCCTGACGTACTCCGTTCTACGTATAGAGAATAGTCTACTATGGCTGTGTGGCCAGAATGATCCTGGTCTTGGCGTATTCCGATATATGTCGCTATTCCGAACTCCGACGTCGAACTTTTCATTCCGATCGCCATCAAAGAAAGACACGGAGTTGGTGTGAAAAAATGAGCGCCTTTCGGAATAAGAGTTGACGATACAGCTGAGTTGATTAATTAAGACTATGGGATAATTTTAGAATGAACATGCAGGTGGCAAACAGGGGGAAGAAAAAAATAGGTTAGGAGTTGGAGTTGGAAAGTGTATAGCTTGATGTTGCTGGGTTCGTCCTAAGCGGGTTTCATGCATGCATAACATTATGCTACATACATGCCAGGAGCTTGTGTTGAACTGGCCACTTCGTCATAATTCGTACTAGTAGTAGTAGCTGTACGTCTTTGTGTCGGTGCTATCGTGTATACTGGGGTTGTGATTGGTTGATGTTTCATGGTAGTTCAGATTTATATATAACTCTATAACCCCGCCAAACAACCACATCACATCTTCGGTTTTATCTTACGAGAAGACGCAATTTCTTTTTCTTGAACAGGAGAAGAAGATGAAGAAGAAGATATATCTACATGATTAGCCTCCTTTTTGAATGCTACTTCTCTAATAATACCTCTTGTCAAGGATCGCTTTCAAGTTTCGAGACGTGCCTAGAGAAAAGGGTTGGTGTTAAGGTAACTGTTATCCAAAGCCCACTTTCAAATCAACACCAACACCTGAAAAAGCGCAAAGATGTTAGGAATGGGCCTGATACTACTCCGGAGTACGTTTTATCAAATAACTTTCATTTTGAATCGTTTGTCAGGACCTCAGACTAATACCATACAGATCCATGATCTCATGTTTGATTACAAAGCAGCTGGGAAACAATTGGACTCAACCACTATCGATGACAGATTCGCCTTCATTCGATAACATTCGGTGTAAGACGCCAATGGGTACTCTCCGCCAATAATCGGTCAATGTGGATAGATGATTGATAATGCCGACTAAAAGGTTAACTCTATGTTCTTCCCTAGGTGCATTTGTCAGCGCATGGCACCGAAGCACCGACCTCCGTGATATTTATACAGATCCGAGTGGATGCGGAATGTGCATTGCCGAGTAACCGCAATCTATCCGGAAATCGCGCGATCCTATTTTAAAGAGGGCATATACCTCACGCCTCCCTGGCAACATCTACCGCCGTCCAGCTCCAATAGCGTATATTAAAGTTGTTGCAACATTGCTACAAACCACTACGCTCATTTCCTTCAATACACAGCAAAAATTGTCTCTATTCCCCCATCAGAGTATCTAGTCAAGATGTCTCTTAAGCCTCTTATCCTCCACGGCCATTCTGCCGGCCCCAACCCCTGGAAGGTGGCCATGCTCCTCAACGAACTCAATGTTCCCTACGAATACAAGTATCTTCAATTCGCAGAAATCAAGGGTGAGGCCTTCTTCAAGCTCAACCCCAACGGCCGTGTTCCCGCCATCGAGGACCCCAACACAGGAATCACCCTGTGGGAGTCGGGTGCTATCCTCGAATATCTGGTTGAAACCTACGACAAAGAGAAGAAGTTCAGTTTCGAAGCCGGCACTCCGGAGTACTTCCACGCCAAGCAATGGCTCCACTTCCAGATGTCGGGCCAGGGCCCCTACTTCGGCCAGGCAGTGTGGTTCACTAAATACCACCCCGAGAAGGTTGAAAGCGCCCGGCTGCGCTACATCAACGAAATCCGTCGTGTGTCGGAAACGATGAACAATGTTCTTGCGGACCGTGAGTATTTGGTCGGCGACAAGTACAGTTATGCCGACCTCTCCTTCGTTCCCTGGTTCGGCATCATTCCCTGGATCACCGGAGATGCATTTGATCTGGAGAAGGACTTCCCTCATCTGAATGCATGGCTGGAGAGAATCCAGGCTAGGCCTGCCATTGCCAAAGCGTTGGCAGAGAGGGCTGAGGCAACCTCGAAAATGACGCAGCCTTGAAGGGAGGGAGGTGATCAGAGGAGCTAGCCGGATCTGGCTCACAAGAAGGAATGTGAAATCTGTATTCAGAATTGCATTGTATATTTAATAATTTGATAGTATCCATGATGTTATGGTTCGTGATCGAGACTTTCTGGGTAACATAGTATGTAAGTCCGGCGGACCATTTCTGCTGAAGAAGAAGTACCTCAAGACCGTACAGATGTAACACGAAGACTTCTTTATTTCAGTAATTATCCGAGAGAAGGCAATCGGTCAAAGTGACTGCAGAACCCTAGGTAGATCTTGGAGTAGGTGGTAGGAAGCAGGAAGCAGAGTAAAAGAGGGAAAGAACGCCTATTCCCAAAGTGGTTAGCTCCCCTGAGGCTCTTGGCGCGAACTTTTGGAGCGACGGCCGTGTCGCGACAGTTGCACCGCTACTAAGCCATCCTCCTCATCGTCACCTCATTGCTTCTCCGCTTGGTGTCACTTCCGTTATTTATCCCGGAGGCTCTGCTTGCCACACTTATTGATAAACCAGTTGATTAAGGGTTGCATCCGCACCCTGTCACTCGCCTCCATTGGCCTTCTAAGCAGAGACCCTTGCTCCGCTGCCTGCGACCTCTGTATCCTTCTTTGACCACCATTCTATCAACATGGAAGAGAGTAACGTCGTTTCCAGCGGCGCAGTCGATGACATTCACTCCGCGACTGCGACCCAAGATGCTCCAGGTGAAGTGATTAACCCTTCCGGTGGGTTTGACCTCCTCCCCTAACAGAATGCGGAGATTGTCAACGTCCGCAATCTTATGCTCCAAATCGCAATCGCGTCAAGAGTCTTAAGAAGATGAGACACTGAATGTTCCAGGGACTGATAATCCTTTAGATGCCCCGGCCTCACCCAAAGCTCAGAACACCGAAGGCGAACCGGAGGATGAGGAGATGGGCGGCACAGAGACTGAACCAAAGAAAGAAAGCGAGGGCGCTGAAGAAAATGCTGACGGCGTTGCGCAGCCAGGTGCCGAAGGTGCTACAGAGGATCAGTCTGGACAAGGCAAGTCGTCGATCGAATCTTCGGCGCGCTCACAACTTGTTTCGCAAACACACGCCATTATCCTTCCCAGTTACTCCACGTGGTTCGACATGCACACCGTTCATCCCATCGAGAAAAAGGCCCTCGCGGAGTTTTTCAATGGCAGGAACCGAAGCAAGACGCCCGCGGTCTATAAAGATTATCGCGATTTCATGATCAACACCTACAGACTGAACCCTATCGAGTATCTCACAGTCACCGCATGCCGTCGTAATCTTGCTGGAGATGTGTGCGCGATCATGCGTGTTCACTCATTTTTAGAACAGTGGGGCTTGATCAACTACCAAGTGAGTAACAATAGATCTTGATTAATACCCAGTTGCTAACGCTTTTAAGGTTGATCCCCAAACCCGTCCGTCAAATATTGGTCCTCCTTTCACAGGACATTTCCGAGTCATTGCTGATACCCCCCGCGGCCTTCAACCCTTCCAACCCGGGCCAAACCATTTTGTCAAGCCTGGAAAGCCTCTACCGGCCACTGAACGTGCAGCTTCAGCTGCCCCAGCGTCAAAGGCTGACCTTAACCTCGAAATCCGTCGCAACGTCTATGACGATAAGGGCAAGGAGATCACCCCTGCTGCTGAGGACAAGGAGAAGCAGACAAATGGCGACGGCTCCACTAATGGTGCGACGGGCGACGCGGTGAAAGCGATGGAAACCGCTTCTAAAGAACCCAGAAAGAAGTTCCACTGCTTCTCATGCGGTATCGATTGTACCCGACTCAGATTCCATTATGCGAAGTCGACTCCAGCCACTGCTAACGCATCTGCTCCGGATTCGAAGTACGACCTTTGCCCTAACTGCTTCTTACAAGGCCGCATGCCTTCCAGCCATAGTGCCTCCGATTTCGTCAAGCTCGAAGATAACGCGTATTCGGTGATTCCGGACAAGGACGCTCCTTGGTCCGACTCTGAACTTGTACTGCTCCTCGAAGGACTGGAGAATTTCGATGAGAACTGGGAGCAGATCGCCAACCATGTCGGCACTAGAACGAAGGAAGAATGTGTTATGAAGTTCCTGCAACTGGAGATTGAGGACAAATATGTTGAGGATTTGCCCGATATGCGGACCGCCGGTGGGCGAGAGCCCATCAGCCAGGCTGAGAACCCTGTTCTGTCGGTAGTCGCCTTTTTGGCACAGATGGCAGAGCCTGCCGTGGCCGCTGCCGCGGCGGGTCGCTCTGTGGATGAGATCCGTAAGGAGCTTCGGAAGCAGCTCGAGAAGGGCTCTGACAAGAGTCAAGAGAAGGGCAAGGAAAAAGAGGGCTCTGGGGTGAAGACAGAGGATTCCATGGATGTGGATGCCTCCACCACCGAGGTTGTAGAAACGTCCAGCTCTGATAAACAGTCCAAGGCTTCTCTACCCACAGTTGCGCTCGCCACCTCAGCAGCTCGTGCCGGTGCTCTTGCCTCTCACGAGGAACGGGAGATGACTCGCCTAGTCTCCGCTGCCGTCAATATCACTCTGCAGAAGTTCGAGATTAAGCTGCAGCAGTTCAACGAGATGGAGGAGATCATTGAGGCCGAACGCCGGGAACTCGAACTGGCTCGTCAGCAGCTTTTCCTGGACCGGATGGCCTTCAAGAAGCGCGTAAAGGAGGTCCAGGATACCCTGCAAGCGGTTAGCCTGAAGGGACCAGGCGAGGACGCAAACAACATACTTGGTGAGGCTGCGACGGCAGGAATCGGAAACCGCTTCAACTTCCAGCCTGCAGGCAGTGATGCACGGGCTGGTGTGCAGCCTTTGAGCGCGGAGGCAGGTGCTGACTACAAGACCCTGGACCTGTGAAGGGTGGAAGCTTCGTTCAATGGCATGCGTAAATGAAAAACCTCTTGAAAAAAAATGAAATACATATCTTACGATGCACCAGGGACGTTCGCAGGTTAACATTTATAATATCCATGTATTGTACCATAAATATTCTAGGGCCGAAGGACCAGATACCAGGATAAAAGATTGGAGGGGCACCTCGCAGAGACTGTTTGGGTGATTGACTGATGGATGAATGATTGGGGTTTGGGTTTACTATCGACTTGCTGCTCAGCTATGAAAAGGCGCAACTGTTCTGGAGTTAGAGTATTTGCCTCGTTTGTCTACTTCAACCTTATTTAGTTCAAGGTGGAATGAAATCGTTAAATTGTTATTTCCTGTGCCAAATGTCTAGTGACCAACATGTTTATGTGGTATCATACAAAAAATATCATACAAAGTGTGAGATCGAAAAAATGGGCCACATATGTAGCAAATGTAGATGGATAGATGTCCAATCAATCGCTAGGCCAGTCAGCCGGACTCATCGGCTGTGAATACAACGGCATGCCGTCCCTGTCGTCCTGTACTGAGGACGAAAATTCCCTGGGTGCAGGAAGGTCGTCATCGGAGCCAGAAGAGGAGCTTGCTTCGTCCTGTTTGAGCTCGGCTTGTATGCGCCTCCGACGGGTTAGTATAGGTGATCGGTGCCCGGGGGTTGTGTTGGCGGGTACGGGCGAGTCTAATTCATTTGCTTGTTTCTGGTTTGTATTGGGGCTGAGGATTGTTTGTTTGCGTTGGGTATTGTTAATTTCAGGACCTGAATCGCGCTCCTCTGTAGGATCTTCTTCATCTTGGGCGGTGGTGGCATTTTGGCCTGGAGCTGTTGATTCGCTCATTTCTATGTCTTCGTCTTCACTCCGGCTTACATCCTCATCGTATTCACCAGCTGTTGGTTCAATTCTGAGTCCATCTGTTTGGTTGTTTTCACCATTGACCGAGACAGGTGAAGAATCCCGGGAATCGTCAAGGCGCCTTCGTTTTCGTCGCTTTTCCGATATCTCCTCATAAATATCATAAACTTCGTGACCATACTCCTCCCAATCACTTCGATACAGTGTCCTTTCACGCCAACTTGTAAGCTCTTGTTGTGTTTTGCGCTCTCCTACCGGCTTGCGTATTTTATTATCCTGATCTTCTTTGACGGGAATGAGAAAAGCCGGCGCTGGCCGTTCCAAAGCTTTCCAAAGTTCTAACTCTCCAAGGCAACTGGCTCTTTGGTCTTCTTGCTCTGCGTGTTGATTTTCGGAGTCCGATGGGAGTTCATCTTCATCGCTGGAGACTTCTGCTGATAAAGGTGCGGATGGGACTGGAGAGCGTTCGGGCTTGAACTCGCTCTCACTGTCACTTGCATTATCCTCATCGCTGTCTGTGTGTTCATCATCTGTGTTCCCTTGCATCCTGCTTTCTGACCTTTGCCTGGACGTGCTCCGATTCGATTCTGCATCGATGGGTATCCTATTGGACAACATATCTTCTACCTCGTCATGGCTCAGGCGAACGGATTTCCATCCTTTTCGATGTCGAGAATCAGAAACATCCAAACAGCACCGCCGTGCTACCCCAGTCCAGTAGTCAAATCCGTCTCGTTTCATTTGCATCACGTCCAGCGCGGTCCTAACATCTCGCGGTTTGACTACCTTGGCCTTGCTATTACCCGTCTCTCTCATGTTGCGCAGCCTTGACATGGCAAAAAATAGGGCTGACTGAATCAAACGGCGCGTCACGCTTACGGTGAGAGTGTAGAAATCAGCTAACGCGTCAGCAGTTATCGCTGGTGCTTCGCCCGCGTAAGCTATGTTCACCCAGTTATCTTCTAGCCTTGCGCCCCCAAAATTCATGAACAAACGCTCGGAGAGCCGGATCCACCTCGGGATGTTGAGTAGACTGGCCGTGTGGTAAACACTTGAGCCGGGTGGGGATTTTTGATCCTGCGACTCTAGTTCTTCTACTAGTTCTGCTTTTTCTCGATCGATTATCCACAGATCATGATGTGTCTCTCTTCCGGCAACATCTTCATCTTGCTGCTCTTTGAGCACCAGTAGCTTAGAGTACTCATCAAGGACGTCGCAGCATTCGCTGCTTACTTCCTCCGCCGCGGGCACATCGCCTAGGACGATTGTTCTGCTGTGCTGTTCTTTCCTATGCTGCCATTCTAGTCGCCTATGCAAGAGTCTGAGATATTCCTGGACCTCCAGCTCGGATTTCGTACCAATCGCACTAGCTATATCGCGGATACCATCCCTCCCTTTTCTGTCAAGGACGTTGAAGAGTATTTCCTTCTCTTTCGGCGCCCAAGACACGATTCCGGCTTGGGTAGATTGGTAGTTTCCGCTGTCGGGCTTCGATTCGACGGATGTGTAGTCGCCAGTCGTTTGCGTGAGTAGATTAGAATATGCTTCCACTGATTCCTTGCTCAATGACGCCTGTAGATGCTCCAGCATTTGCATTCGAGAGACCCTTCGGCGCGTCTGCGCCGTCCTGGATGAGGACCTTCCATCGAGCTGGGGAGGAGAAGACAATCTGGTTCTGCGACTCGGAGGAGATGAGGGGGGTTCTGTGAACTCCGTATTTCCCGTCTCGATATCGGAGTCAGATGCTTCATTATCTTCCTCTGGCTCGTAAAGGCTTGAACTGCTCATTGTCGGGTTGGAGGTCCAGAGGGGCACACCATTGACATGGACTCTGGAAAAATGGCGAAAACATGCCCGGCATTGACCGACTAATTGAACATCGTATAAGGTGACAATCGAGAACCTCTGGAAAAAGCAGTGAGAATATTGCGACACTTCGAAGGGAATCCGTAGAAATATTTCTATCTGATAAGAGGGTGTGTTTGCACTGTTTGCTTCTCCGCCGAACTTATCGGGACGGCTGCGGCAGGTCAACTACGTAACGATCGACCAAGTCATATGGTACCTGGATGGAGTGTATTCGTGGGAAATTGGGATGGTTTCCCATTTCGCGTCTCTTACTGAAACCTCATAGGACTTACTGGAGGCTTCCCCCTTTTCAACAACCTCACTTGCGCCTCAGCTCTACCGCTGTCCCTGCTGCGCGCGAGTCGCCTGCTATAGTCCTTCGGGATTACCAGGAAGAATGCATCAAATCGGTGCTTGATAATTTGGATCAGGGCCATAAGCGCCTTGGAGTTTCACTTGCGACGGGTGCTGGAAAAACGGTTTGTATGAGCTTACACACTATTGAGAATCGTATTCTGCTGACGATATCTTTCACCAGGTGATCTTCACACAACTCATCGGCCGCATACCCCCGCGAAATGAAACGGACACTAAGACACTGATTCTCGTCCATCGGCGCGAACTCGTCGAACAGGCAGCTCGGCATTGTCGTCTTGCCTACCCCGACCGAACTGTCGAGATCGAAATGGGCACGAGCAAAGCCTCACCGGCAGCAGACATCGTCGTCGCATCCATTCGGAGTTTGACTAATGGAGACCGCATAGCCAAATTCGACCCGAAGCAGTTCAAACTTGTCCTCGTGGACGAAGCTCACCACATAGTCGCTCCCTCATACCGAGAGGTGCTCAAATACTTTGGACTGAACGAGGCATCGCACGACTCGCCGGTGCTAGTCGGCGTGTCGGCGACGTTATCGCGAGCCGATGGCTTGAAACTTGGCGCGGCCATCGACCACATTGTCTACCACAAAGACTACATGGACATGATCGACGAGGAATGGTTGGCCAACGCAGTCTTCACCACTGTGCAATCCGAAGTCAACCTGTCCCGCGTGAAGAAGGATAACTTTGGTGACTTCGCCGTCGGCTCACTCTCAAAAGCAGTGAACACCGACAGAACGAACGACATCACAGTGCGCGCCTGGCTAGCAAACGCCCAAGAGAGGAAATCAACATTAGTGTTCTGCGTCGATGTCGAACATACAAAGCAGCTCACCGAGACCTTCCGCGCTGCCGGCGTCGATGCCCGCTATCTCACCGGCAAGACAACAAAGGAAGTCCGCGACGACCAGCTCAACCGCTTCAGGAACCAGGAATATCCCGTTCTCCTGAACTGCGGCCTCTTCACAGAAGGCACCGACATCCCCAACATTGACTGCGTCTTACTCGCGCGACCGACTCGCTCCCGCAACTTGCTCATCCAAATGATTGGCCGTGGACTACGCCTTCACCCAGGCAAAAAGGACTGCCATATCATCGACATGGTCGCAACCCTGGAAACCGGCGTTCTCTCCACACCTACCCTCTTCGGCCTCCACCCAGACGAAGTCTTAGCCAACGCCAGCGGCAAAGACCTCAAACACAAAGAAAGCGACTCAGCCTCACCCGCAAACCCAGATACCTCCCCAGACCCAGACGTACTAGACGACATAAACCTAACCTTCACCAAATACGACACAATCTACGACTTAATCATGGACATGAAATCCGAAAAATACATCCGCTCATCAAGCCGCAACGCCTGGGTCCGCATCGACGAGAACAAATACCTTCTCTCCGACGCAAGCGGCTGGATCACAATCGAGAAATCAACCGACGAATACATTACATCACCAAACAATAACTCCCAACAACCAGCCTGGACAGTCCACCACGTCAAAGTATTTAAAAACCCCATCACAGAGAAAAACACCTTCACCCGGCCCCGGTTAATAGCCACAAGCCCGGACATGGAATCCGCAGTCCACGCAGCCGACACTTTCGCCGCCTCCGAGTTCGAAGATCTGTATATCTCCGCCCTACAGCCCTGGCGTCGTCGACCCGCCACCTCGGCGCAGTTGAGATTCCTCAATAAAGCCAAGATACGGAGGGATGAACTCCGGCCGGAGCATTTAACCAAGGGCCAGGCGGCAGATTTGATAACAAAGCTGAGGCACGGGGGAAAGAAGAGGTTTGAGAAGCAGGCTGGCCGGAGACGGAAAGAGGACGAGAAAGCTAAAGAACTAGAGGTGCTTAGGACTAGGGAGAGGGTGCGGGTTGGGCCTGTTTTGATGTGATTATCATCGTTATTCTCGGGCTGTTAGACCCTTGGGTCAGATGTATTATAGCGTGTAACATAATATGGGAGTGTGCGGTCCATGATTGCGATCTACAAAGCTCTTATAAATGATATAATCTTGGTTATGTAGAGATTGGAAAGAAATGAAATAGAGTGCTCTTGGCAAACCAATATATTCTATCAGGATTTATAATCTTAAAACCATCAAGAGGGGTGGACGTTGAGTCACTAAAATAATGTGCGGATAGAAGAACTTAAGCATGTCATCATCATAAACGAGGTAATTATGTATACTATATTCTAGACACCTTTGATCTATATCCAGATCCAACCGTATATACAGACGTTAGGATGAAAAAAAGAAAAAGAGATAAAAAAGTGGGGGACAGAAGTAGCTAATCATGGTGATGTAGCGGTGCCTGTATGGAGGGGAGTCGAGTCGATACCGAGAACATTTCACATTACGGAATTGTCCGGTTCACTCGACTAAAGGGGTGGAGATATCAAACAAGTAACAAGATCCTGTACAGGCCGATTCTTCGGCAAATGAAACACCGTCCCTGGTGTGAACTCCGTTTAAAAATGTGTCTTGATACCTGAAAATGCGACAAAGAATAGAAAACAGATGATAATGGAAAGTGTAAAATGGTAAGGGAACTCTTTTTTATGGCTTTTTCTTCGTGTGGCTTCCTGTTGCAGGGCTCTGGACCGTTTCGTCCCCCTCTAGGACCCGCCACAGTCGTGATATTGAGAATCCACTGGCAGAGAAGTAGATTCCCACTAGCCAGGCGGCGAGGATATTAGTGAGATGATGGAGGAGGTAGGCGTACGAGACGCCGTAGATCGCTGAGTAGATGGCAATAAAAAAGAAGAGCATAGAGGTGACATGTTTAAACCTATAGCCATCAGTTGCCGTCCGATTGTGGCTTAATGCTGGGGGCTTACCGTGTGGTTACTCGTGGGATCATAGTTCCAGTAGTCATGGCCTCCACGAGGAGAACAAATGGCATTATTGATAGCACATTATGATGCGATGAGAACGGCATAAACCAGTGCACAACCAGATTATGAGCCCAGACGAGAAGAACCAAAGCGTTAATCGGCAGAATCCACAGCATCAGGAGGAAGATTGAATAAGCAAAGTTGGCGAAGTTATAGTGTGTTGTGGATTTCTGATAGCTATTAGCATAGTTGGATAGATGACAACAGGAACGAAAGCTTACAGCTTCCTTCGCATGCCAGTTAGCGCGGACACTAGTAGCTAACTGCACAATGCACGCCACCATGTATGCGAATTGATATGGAATGACAGTCGACACGAGAGCCAATAGAATGGCTGAATTAACAAGTCGTCTTCGGGGACTTGAAGAAGAGAAGATAGGGAGGTTTCTATGTGGAGTTAGTAGGCAAAGCTATGTAGGAGTGACGTGACGCACCCTTCTCGTCTCGTCGAATATAGCCCGACTTGCTCCTAAGAAATCCGTAGATGGTAGTGAGAAGGAAGATTAAAGCAAGAGCTACATAGTTGATCATAAGACACACTCCAACGCTAATCAGGCCGAACACCGGCACTAGGAACCAGAAGAAAGCGTCCTGCGAGCCCAGGAGGAGGTCGTTCTTGGTGAAGTCAACTGGGGATTCAGTGGAGTTCGCACGCCAATGGAACGGGTCGTCAGTAGGCGGCAATTTTGTAGATGTCGCCAGGGAGGATGCTAGCAGTGACATAGCCAAAAGGAGCAAGGGAAGGGATGATCGCAGTGCACTGTCCAGACCTTCGGCGAATGTGATGAAATAGCCTGTCTCGTCGTACACCTGGAATTGCTTACGCATGACCAGGGCAACAACAAGGAGCGGGAATGCGGCGAACACGGTACGGTACCGCATGACTAGCTCGCCGAGACTACTAGCAATATCCACCGATAAAGAAATGTCAATCGTGGAATCACAGCTCGGATCTGTCCAAAGGTGAAAAGAAACACCACCCAATGTCGCTTGCTCTCGGAGAGGCGGAGGCATGAAGGGTGCCAGACCATGCAAGTTCACATTAACATCCTTGACATTGACGAAAAATTTAGACTCATGTGGATCTGCGACAGACTGTCGCAAAAGGGGAGCAAACAGCTCTTGCTGTTTTCCGTGATTCTTTCGGAGGATCTTGAGCCTGTAGTCCAGTAGACTCGAGTGCACGGCGGGAATGTGTAGCTCCGTGAGCATGGGACGGTTCGCCGGCAGACGCACCTTTAGTCCGGCACTGAGGAGGCTACCCAGACCTAACCGAGCCCTGATCACAGAGTCCGAGCTATCTGAAAATTCGGCCAACACAAAGCCCTTGGTGGGTGAGTTTGCTTTGTCTACAACGGCGACAAACTGGTGCTCTGCAAGATCCTCCAGGTCGTACTGAAGGTAAGAGAAGGGCTGGACTCGGTCATAAGGACGCTTCGAGGAGGGCGTCGATGCCGGCAAGTGGATTCCATCTTCAGCGGCGTTCTTGCAGGCGAGACGAGTTGAACCTGAGGTGCCTCCGGAGAAGTCCATGTTCATCGAAAACGCCGTTGCAGGTTTCCCATTTTGCAGAGGGAACACACTGCAGAACAGAACCTCTAGGCTCCCGTCATCCCCGGGTTTATCAAATTGCTGGTTTGTAAGAAGGGTGAACTTCTTTC